TCCCTTCACCTTCTCCCCACCTATGTCCCTCTCTGAGCTTTACTGTAAATAGAACACTGGGTTCAGTAAACACAGCTGTGGCTGACCCACTTACCCATCAGGCTGGGCCACTACATTCTGTTGTAGCCGGTGGCATGCAATAGAAAGGAATTGAGGATGGGGGAGAGACTGAGTTTGGGGTGACCCTGGAGGCTGATATCTGTCTAGCAGGTCTGATGCCACAAGAGGAATCTAGTTCTAGGGGTGGGCTTGCTTCAGCTCTTCAAAGATGTCTGGCAGGTGTTTTGAGGCCATTCAGACACTTGCCTGGGTAGGCGAAGGTACAAGAGGGGTGCAAGCCAAGAGCTGGCTGGAAGTGTCAGAGGTACTTGTGTGCCCCACTGCTAGAGGGACTGAGCATCTCCCGAGTATTGAAAAGAGGAATCATTTTAACCTCTTGCTTTAGCTATGATCTTTGAAAAATCATGGCAGACAGGGGAGATTCCAGAAGACTGGAAAAAGGCAAATATTGTGCCCATCTATAAAAAGGGGAATAAGAACAACCCAGGAAATTATAGACCGGTCAGTTTAACGTCTGTCCCAGGGAAGATAATGGAGCAGGTAATTAAGGAAATCGTATGCAAACACTTGGAAAGTAATAAAGTGATAGGGAATAGCCAGCATGGGTTTGTGAAGAACAAGTCATGCCAAACTAATCTGATAGCTTTCTTTGAAAAGATAACGAGCCTTGTGGATAAGGGAGAAGCGGTGGATGTCATATACCTAGACTTTAGTAAGGCATTTGATACGGTCTCGCATGATATTCTTATTGATAAACTAGGCAAATATAACTTAGATAGGGCCACAATAAGATGGGTGCATAATTGGCTGGATAACCATAGTCAGAGAGTTGTTGTTAACCTCTAAAAATTTGAAATGTAGGTCAGACCCCTTTGGAAATCTTAGATGTACTCTGTGGACCCCCATGTTGTCCACAGATCACAGTTGAAAAATCACTGTTCTATGGCAACAATGACCTTTTACAGACCCTCATGGACATAGTCTGTGGACGACATGGGTCCACAGGCCTGAAATTGAAAAACACTGGCCTGCACCATTAATGACCCAAGGGAGCCTTATTCTTGAACCTCATTGAAATTTCTTTACATAGTTAAAGAATCTATACTATAAATATTACTGCATCAGAAATAATTTCTGGTAAGTCTTTAAAGTCATTGAGCCAAATTGACTTTAGATACTTGCACACAGCACACTGAATTCAGTGAGAGTTGTACTTGTTAATGTGAAAGCAGGATTTGGACTTTCCTCTTGCGGTATCTATGAGACAATGTATGTGTGCCTGTATCTATAGTGTAGACGCTAAATTCCTTGTATCTTTGTAAAGTAGCCACACTATAAAGCCCTGTATAGACAAAGTGAAAACTGTAGTAGGATACTATGAAGCAACTCCATGGAATATTTGCAATTTCGTAAAAGAAAGGATTTAATGTTCTCCCTTCATTGCTGTACTTTGTAAATTAAATAATCTGGTAATATAAAAATGTATATAGGTACTAGTTCTAGTTATATCTGAGACTAAAAAGCCATTGAAAGTTGTGTTGTGAATGTAATACTATAACCATTTTGAAAGTCTCAGAGAGGTAGCCATGTTAATCTGTAACTAACAAAATTTTAAAAACAACAATGGTCCTGTAGCACCTTAGAGATCCACATGGGTGGATCCTTACAGCTGCTCACAACCCAGCTAAAGTGAAATGTGGGTTCTTCTGCCCACAGATAATATGGCAGGGCTAAGCTGTTAGTGGACTGAGGGCAGATCTACACTGAACCTGGAAGGAAGGCTTAAGGTACACAACTGCAGCGTGAAAGACTAGCTTGATTGGGCAGCAGAGAATCTTGTGTGGAGGAAAAACTTGCTGAAGGGAATCCAAGTCAGGGGAATGGGTTTTGCAGTTCATTCTGAAAGGGGTGGTGAGTCCTGGGATTTTCCCAGGAGGGGCAGAGCTGTGGCCTAGGTCCAGATCCTGGGGCAGTTCTGTCTCCTGCACTTACAAGCTCTCCCATGGCCAGTCAATAGTCCCACGGTTCTGGTGGAAGGTAGCTACAGCAGGCGATGGTGGCCATGGAGGGGATGACATGATGTGTCTCTCAGGGAGCAAGGGCTGATTGCATGGAGGGCTTTGGAGATGAGACTGAAGACCTGGGAGTGGACTGTGGTGATGGTGACTTGTGTGCCGAGCAGATGGGTTGGCTCTGTCACAGGAGTCTTTTGGGCTGTGGGCCTACATGTGAGTTAGCAATAACTAAATCCAGCTTTGACCCCGATGGCTCTCTACCCAGGTCTGCTTGATGGGATACAAATGCCTGGCTGGATGGGATGAAGTGGGTGTCTTGCTGGCATGGCTATTTGGGCATCAAGTAGCCTTGAATCCATAGGATCCCAAGCCAGTGGACTGAATTATCCAGAGCATCTGCCTGTAAACTGGCTGTTGTCAGAGACAAGCTGAGAATGGCTCCTCAGCTAGTAATAGAGCCAAGGAATCAGTCTGCCTAGTCAGGCATTGAGCCAGAAACTTGTTATTTTAGATGGTAAAACCCCATTCTCCTGGGAAACTAAATAGGTTTCCTGGTAAAGTTGTACCTGGCTGAGCTGGAGGCCCCACAAGGAGGGAAATGGACACAAGCACTCATGAAGGATTCCCAGACAAGCTTGTGAGGCCAGCTGCTCTGTGCCTCTGGGGGAGGGAAGGTTTCCAAGTTAGCCCCCTCAGCGTGTCACAGGGAAGCTTGGCTTCAGCCCTTCAGAGACACCCTGCTACGAGAAGCAGGATGGAAGGCAGCTCTGCTTCTTGGATTCAACATCTGGCACTAGTTAGGAGGACAAGAACTCTGATCCAAGAGGATCTGAGAAAGAAAGAGTTCTTGCCTCAGAAAAGATATTTTAGATATTTTGGCCTTAGAAAGGGTTCAGAAAAGGGCAACTAAAATGATTAGGGGTTTGGAACGGGTCCCATATGAAGAGAGGATAAAGCGACTGGGACTTTTCAGTTTAGAAAAGAGGAGACTGAGGGGGGATGTGATAGAGGTATATAAAATCATGAGTGGTGTGGAGAGGGTGAATAAAGAAAAGTTATTTATTAGTTCCCATAATAGAACTAGAGGACACCAAATGAAGTTAATGGGTAGCGGGTTTAAAAGAAATAAAAGAACGTTCTTCACACAGCGCGTAGTCAACCTGTGAAACTCCTTGCCAGAGGAGGCTGTGACGGCTAGGACTATAACAGAGTTTAAAGAGAAGCTAGATAATTTCATGGAGGTTAGGTCCATAAAAGGCTATTAGCCAGGGGATAGAAATGGTGTCCCTGGCCTCTATTTGTCAGAGGCTGGTGAAGGATGGCAGGAGACAAATGGCTTGATTATTGTCTTCGGTCCACCCCCTGTGGGGCACCTGGTGCTGGCCACTGTCGGCAGACAGGCTACGGGGCTAGATGGACCTTTGGCCTGACCCAGTATAGCCATTCTTATGCTCTTATCAGGTGATAAAGTGGCAGTGACAGCAGAGCTGCCTTGTCTGGTGGAGGGTAGAAGAAAGGTTCAGGGCAATGGGGCATTTAAGGTGTGGGTGGTGGTGGTGTGGGGGGGTCACTAGAAATGGCACCATCTCCAGAGAGGCGCAACTTGTATTTGTGTGTGTGTAGTCTGACACATCAGTCTGTTCCCTTTTAAGGCTCATTCTGATACTCTGCAAGTGTCTGAAGGGCTTGTGGCGTTAGGAATGGGAGGGTGCGTGTGTGAACAGGTAGGATCTGCCCTCCAAGCACAGGCTCCTGGATACAGAACGCTTTGTACTGTGGCCTGACCTTGCCGTATACTCCCTGTCTGGCCACTCGAACAGCAGTGCCTGAGTACACGCTTGGGTGGCCCTGTCCTCGCCTGCTGGGTGTGCTTGAGTCCTCTCAGGAATCCCTGGGTTCTGTCCTCTGTTTGGCTTCAGTCCTGCAGCAGCCTGTGTTTTGAGGCCAGGAGGGCGTGTCACTTCCTCCACCCTCATGTGGCAACTGTTTCTAAAGCAACATGGAATCCTGTGATTGGAGATAAACAGCCGGGTAATGAAACATGCATGTTGCCAGCCTCTGTGTGGCAAGCCAGGGAAGGGATAGTGCCTTACAACACACCCTGTGTTTAGTGTCATCAAAGCACTTGATGCACCCTAATAGAAAGTATTACTCCACTCCCTGATGCAGCTAACTCCGCCTGGGTCTAGGGGTATGTTTACATGCCTAGGTTAAATTAAATAAAACTCCAATTGCAGGCCCTGGCTTTGTTAACCTAGGACATGAGTGTCTGCACTCATTTGTAACTTCAAGTTAGGCGTTGGTGAACCCTGGGTCCTAGCCTGGAACGCCAGCATCTGCACTGTATTCTATGGGCCCAAGTCCAACCACCAATATCCCAGACTTCCTACCACCCTTCTAAAATGGCCCTGCTTGCACCTCCAAGGGCTAAGTGTGGGAAAACTGGACTGGCCAGAGGACAGTCAGCCCATGGGATTGCGGAAGGCTTTCAGTGAGCTGCCAGAGTGCAAGTCAGTGGAGCTGCGTCTGCATTGTAAAGCAATCCTGGATCCCAGTTTCACTCCGACTTCAGCCTCCCAACCCCATAGGCTCCTGGGACTTTGGGCCCAAGCCCTGGGTCAGTGTATTTTGTGTGTAGATAGAAGGGGGATTGGGCTGGAGTCTGAGTTTGAACTCTGTGTCCACATTGCCCTGTGGATGCTCCATGGGAGATGGCAACACATGGGCCAGTTTCTAGTACGAGGTAGCTAACTGCTGGCAAGCAGACAAAGGCTGGAGCTCTTGTGTGCTGCTTTCTGAAGGGTGCCGAACCTAATTCTCAGGCCTGGGCTGAGTCTCGGAGCTTGGGCTGGTGGCCTGTGAAGAGATGCAGGAGAGGGGGGTAAAGGCTACTAACAACCCCTGTCGTGTGTCCTTTCACTCCAGAAAGAGCTGCGGCCTCGTCTCTGTCAGATGAAGAAGGGACCCAACGGTTATGGATTCAACCTCCACAGTGATAAAACCAAGCCAGGACAGTTCATCCGGGCCGTGGACCCAGACTCACCAGCTGAATCATCGGGGCTGCGTCCCCAAGACCGCATCATTGAGGTATGTGCAGGGGCAGTGCAGCTAGGGGAGAGAGAGCTAGGGGTGTGACATGGGAGCATTGGGTGAAGTCGCAAGGGGGCAGGGCCTCTGAAGGCTACAATGGGGATGGAGATCGGAAGTGTCATGAAGATGCTGCTTTCCTGCATGTGGCAATCACCAGTGTAGTTGTCTGAACTGAGGCTGAACTCTTCCTCTGGAGTTAGTAACATGGGTAGCTTGTCCTCTATCCGTACAAACTAAGGAAAATTTTCAGTCCTTTCGCTTGCTGCCTATTATTCATCAAACAATGAGTAGCTAGAAACTGCCTCTGCGGTGTGGTTTGTCTGACTTGAGTCCTGACCCTGGCCCATTTGTCCTATTACACAACCAGAGTCTGAGACAGACTGCCGGGCCCTCCCCACCTTGCCCTCAGTGGTGTTGTGGTTCAAGGCCAGGAAAGGAACAGGAGTCCCTGCAGTCCTGTCTGTAGGAGGCTGACTCTTCAGGGGATCCGGTCTGTGACTTACAGCCTGCTTTCTAGGGCATGCTACACTGAGCATGTTCAGGTCCTGACAAGTATGCTGGGAGGGGGCTGGGGAGCTTTCCTGGCTTCTTTGCTTGGGGTGTGGGAGCCCTTGTGGCAGCTGGATCCCAGCCTGCATACACAATGCCTTGGATGCTCTTGCCACAGACAGGTCTGTGGCCCAGCCTATGTGCATACCCTGCCCTGTACTCCTGGCAGCTTTGCTATGTAGTCCTGTGCTAATCACTTAGAGAAAATCTGACTTTAATGAGGTTTTGCTGGCTGCCTGGCTAATCCCCCCCCCCCTCCCTGCCCCCAGGCTTGCTCTGGGGACCTGCTGGGGCTCGAGGGTGGCAGAACTTTGGCTGCCAGCCAGGCCAGCAAATAAGCCTTCTCCAGGTTGTCTTCCTGGTTTCAGATGGGCCATTTGGAATTGCTGCTCCCTGCTTCCTCCACCCCCCAAGCGCCTCCAAAGGCTTCCTGGCCTGATCTCAAAGCCACTTCACCCTCCTCAGGCCATTCCCTGGTGAAAGTCTGTGCAGCACTCCTCTGACTAGCCTGTTGGAATACCACCAGTGCATTGATGGCAGTCACTACCAGATTCCTCTAGCCTTTCCGTCTTCCCTATCAGCACTAGGCCTGCAAGCCGCTTGCTCTGAGCACAGGTTAAATGTTCCCGGCTAGACATGCTGCCACTGAGTCAGCCAGGAGGCAGCATCAGTTCACTCCATTAAAAAGCTGCTGTCTCCAGCTGTTCAAATCCTTTTGTCCTATCCTAGCAGGGGGGCTGGGAGATGGTGAATGATGGGTTCGCCTGTTTCCCCACTGTTGTATGCACTCTGCTGTAGACTAGAGAAATGTGGGGTTTAGGGTCAACACTTGGGTTTGGGAAGCAGCATGTGGGCTCAGCTGCTAGCTTCTGCTTCCTGAATATAAAGCCAGGCCAGTAGGAATGGACTAGATGAGCTGGCTTGGGGTGTATTGGGGACCACTTCCTCTTGGTTCAGAGACTCCCCTTTCCTTCCTTGGGGCTCCCATCTAAACATTGCAGTGTCTTATGACGAAGGCCTGATCTGCACTAGAAACTTCTTCTGGAATAACAGGGTTGGTTAGAGGTGTGGGTTTTTTGTTTGTTTTTGTTTTTGTGAGGGTTTTTTTTGGGGGGGGGGGGGCGGGGAGGGGTGACAATTCCATATTGGGAAAAGCCCTGATGTACATGCAGCTCTGCTGGTATAAATGTGCTTGTGCTGGGAGAAGTTATTTCGTTCATCAAACTGGTAAAAGCTACAGTGGCAAATGCTCTGTCTGGTGTCAGCTGTGCCCACACAAGGAGGGTTTGATGGAATCGCTATGTTGGCAAACCTTGTCTAGTGCAGACCTAGCCTCAGTTGCTTTTCCACTACAGGCATTCTTCAGTGTCCTGAAGTTAAAATGCAGAGGAATGGGACTTATGAAAAGCCTCTGTACTCAGAGTCTGGATGCTTGCTCCTGCCATCAGCTACAGCCACAACACAGCTGTGGAGGAAGCAGCTGGGGTCAGCTGAGTTAAATATTCAATATCCCATTCAGAAACGAGGAGGCAGCTCAGAGATAGAAATTGCCGAGCAGAAGTCAATCGCTGGTTAGGTTGGGCTAAGACAGAATGTTTATATGAGAGAGTCTGAAATGTGACTGACTTGCAAGACTACAGAGTCCTGATCTTTGTGTCCAAACCTAAGATTTGGCCTTGGGCTTGGCCAGCTCTTCTTCCAGACCCACTTCTTCCTGGGCAGACTTTGCCAAAGGCTGTCTCATTTACTGCATTTGTAAATCCAGCTGAATGCTTAAGGCTTCCCCACCTCCCATAGGGCCAGAAGATTTTTGTGGTGACTTGTCTACTAAGTCTGGGATCCAAGCTGTTCTCAGTCGGATAGGAAAATTGGTCACAATCTTGTGGTCATGTTCCCACAACTCAGAACAGGGATTTGAGTAGAACAGGCCACTGGGAGCAGAAAGAGGAATGTTGCCAAGTAGATAAAACACCTCATGACAAGAGGAGTGAATAAGTGACCTGTTCAGGTGAGGGGTCTGGCTGTTCTAGGCTTCTGGACAGCAGAAATCTGACAGGTAGGAATGAATGTTTGTTGCTTGGAGGTGGGGTGGGGGAAGTATCAGTGTACATCCCTGCCTGTTCCCGTACCAGCTGGATAGCGACTAAATGGGCTAATAGGCAGCGTGTGACTGGTATCAGCATTTTTGTCTAACCCACAGCCAGCCTTGTAATTCAGTACAAATCTCTGCCTTTCATGGTCTCTGATTCTGCCTGGTTCTCTTCTGGCAGGTGAATGGACAGTGCATGGAAGGGAAGCAGCACTCAGACGTGGTGACAGCTATCAAAGCTGGGGGAGACGAGACCAAGCTGCTGGTGGTGGATAACTTAACAGATGAGTTCTTCAAGAAGTGCAAAGTCATTCCCTCTGAGGACCATTTGACAGGTGACCCAGTAGTGATGTTGGGGCTTGTGTTGGTAGCTGGAGAGGGGTGGTTTTTACCTAGGGTTTCCTCCCATAAATGCTAGACTAGGCAGCGAGGGTCTGTGGACAGATGGCTTGTGGGACTGTTTCTTTAATTGGGGAGCTTCCAAAATGAGACAGAGTAGAGATCTGTCCTGGTGAGAAGTGACCCCTGTAGCATTTCTGCATAGCTGTTTGTGCTGTCACCACATGTAACTAGTTTCCAGGATGTGCTCTGGTTCACTAGCTCCTCTTTCTTGCGGTTTCATGGGAAGCTGAGGAGAAAAGTTGCCGAGACTTAACCCTGAAGGGAGGCAATGTAGCTTGCAATAGTGTCATGCAGCCCAATTGGAGCCTTTCTGCATGCAAAGCTGGAAACTCTCTCCCAAGCCAAAGGCCTTGCTGGTTTCAATGGCATATTGCATGCCAGCAGGGAACTATCTGGTGCTGTCAGCCTGGTTACCCTGCATTTGGTCACTCTACTCCCTCATGGTGTGGTCTTCTGTCCAGGGTTGTGGGAATTTTACAGCTGAAATAGTTTACAGGGTTTATGAGAGGAGCCCAATTTCTCCCTCCTTGATCAGAGGGCAGGCCTGGTCAATACCATGACAGGCCTCTCTAGCTGATGCTGCTCCAGCCCTGCTGTTACCCAGAGACCTCAGTGGAGCACTCTGTCCTCCACAGACTTGTTGGATGTCGTGCTCCAGGAACTATCAAATGTAATTCCTTGATGGGGGAGATGTAAGGGCAAAATCTCCAAGGCCCAATCATCCCAGTAAGATGCCACCTCTTCTAGAATGAGGGTCTTGGCTAGAACCCCTTGGCAGCTGGAGACTAGGAGGCCTGCAAAGAGGACCACAGCATCTGGCAAGACTAATGTGAACCATCAGACCGACTAGCAGCTGAGTGTTAATGGGCTCAGGTGCCAGGGGATCTTTCTATCTAAAGAATTCTTGTGCCAATAGCTGGACTTGAGCTCGGAACCCTAAGATACCAAACTAGAATGGAGGCAGAGCAGGCTGAGAGGCAGGCAGGGCTGACATCACAGCAGTTCCGATGGCCTGAGTAGGCCCAGATTTGGCAATTCTGTGACCCCTCAATCTGCCAGCAACTGTTTTTCTTTTGCAGGGGAGAGCTGGGTTTTGCTGGGCTCTAGGGGTGTGTCTAGGCTACAGGGTTTTGCCAACAAAAGTGGACTTTTGTCGACACAACTATATCTGTGTCTACACTACCACCGAGTTCTGTTGACAGCGGTAAACCGCATTCTACAAGGAATATAACGCCTTTTGTTGACAGAACTCTGTCGACAGAAGGCGTTAGTGCATCTACACTGTCCTTTGCGTCTACACTCGCATGTTGACAAAGCGGCTTGCTTTGTCAACAGAACTGGATGTAGTCTAGACGCTCTTTGTTGACAGAAGCTTTGTCAACAGTATCTGTCGACAGAGCGTCTGTCGACAAAAGCCTGTAGTCTAGACGTACCCTAGCTATTTAGAGTAGGGAATGCTTGCTGAGAATCTGAGCTTGCTTTCCAGAGAACTAGGTTCTTTTGATAAGAACGGACATACTGGGTCAGACCAAAGGTCCACTTCTCCCAGTATTCTGTCTGCCGACAGTGGCCAATGCCAGGTGCCTCAGAGGGAATAAACAGAACAGGTAATCGAGTGATCCCTCCCCGTCACCTATTTCCAGCTTCTGACAAACAGAGGCTAGGGACAGCATTCCTACCCATCCTGGCTAACAGGCATTGATGGACCTATCCTTCATGAATTTATCTAGCCCTTGTTTGAATCCTGGTACTCAAAACATCCTCTGGCAAGGAGTCCCACAGTGCGACTGTATGTTGTGTGAAGAAATACTTCCATTTGTGCTTTTAAAAATCTGGAACGTTTAATTTCATTTGGTGACCGTGGCCCTTGGTTCTTGTGTTATGGGAACAAGTATATAACTTTTTTTTCCTTCTTTACTTTCTCCACACCAGTCATGATTTTATAGACCTCTATTGTATCCCCTTTAGTCTTCTCTTTCTAAGCTCAGAAGTCCCAGTCTTATTAATCTCTCCTTATAAGGCAGCCATTCCAAACCCCTAATGATTTTTGTTGCCCTCTTCTGAACTTTTCCACCCAGGATTTGGTTCTGAGCCTGTGCATATGGCAGTGAGGGGGTGGGGCGGTAGAATCTGCAGCAGAAAACCCAGCACTTCACCACCAGAATCTGTAGATCTGGGTCCAG